CCAGGGACATTTTCCCTTTCTAAATTGAGGTGCTAATTTAAATTTTATGGCCAACATCTAGCCTGAGTGATCATTCTGCCCATGTGAAATTAAACTACTTCTTAATGTTGGTGATTACATATCTATACATCTGTATCCATATAATAGTCTATTGAGACGTAAAATGTTTACCAGTGCTGTCAGGCATTGTTGAATAGATCAGGGGGGAAAAGGGTTATTATGGAAGGAAGAGAAATGAACAGTACTTAATGAAACTGCATTTAAATTGAGAAGGGTTAAAAAAAAAAGGTTTCTATAAATTCTTTTGCTCAGTAACAATAAAAAAAGGAAAAAAAACACTCAGCTGAGAACAATAGCTACTCAGCTCATAAAAAATCATTAGAAGGAACATTTTCTTTGTCTACCGTGCTCAGTAATTTCACTGGTGGGCAATGATCCAGATCACTTAGATCCCACTTATAAAAATGAATTCAGAGAACCTTCTTAGATCCCACTTATAAAAATGAGTTCAGAGAACCTTCTCAACTCTTCCAGCTAATTATACTAACAAAAATTCTAATTTCCTAATGTGTTAACTCCACCATAAATAAAATTTTGGTTCATAATTCACGGAATGTTTTTGACAAGTAGATGATACTGATCTCGGGTTAATAGGATATGCTCTTTGGCTTGCTTTTCCATTAGAAGGGAGGGACTACGCTGACACGTTTACTCACTCCCATCAAATCCTCCTTGTAGCCAGAGGCCTGTATCTGAGAGATGACTGCTGGGCATGGTGCAGAGTGCTTGTGGACAGCGTGGTTCCCACTGTGAGAAATGAACTGGCCTACTTAGATATTTAACTTCTCACTGCAGTTCTGTGGCTCATCCTAAGTTGGCTGAGTCAGAGAAACTTCATATTTCTGACATTAAGGGCCTGGCTGATTCATCTGCTCCCACAAATATCATTAAACTATCTTAGTTAATTGCAAAATGTGCTATCATTAACAGCTCTTTTCTGTATTTAAGGTTCCCCATGACAATCAAAGGATTGCTGCATATGGATAAAATGTTACTTCTAATGACCGTGCCAGGCAAATAGCATATCCAGTAACACAACTCTTAATATTTCTTGTCAATTAAAAAGTATGAGGAGTGGGTCGGCCCGGTGGCGCACTGGAGAGTGCGCCGCTTGGGAGTGTGGCGGTGCTCCCGCCGAGGGTTCGGATCCCATGTGGAGACCAGTTCCCGCTCACTGGCTGAGCGCGGTGCGGGCGCAACACCGAAGGTTGCAATCCCGTTACCAGTCAGTAAAAAAGACAAAAAAGAAAAAAAAAAAAAAAAAAAAAGTATGAGGAGGGAAAAAAAGTTATCTATGTTTAAGATTTGTTTTTCAATTTAGTTTGAACATATTAAGCATTTTAATGATGAACTTATTTTGTGTTTTTACTACTTGGCACAGTAAATGTTCAATATTTGCTGAATGACTAAAATGCATTTTAAACAAAATAAAGGAAATGGTTTGAAGACTAAATAAAACAATGTCTTCTACACTTAACACTCTTTTTTTCCTTACTAAACTTCTCTCCACTTTTGACTTTATGCTGGAGATTGGCACCATCAAATATAATCTAAATGGTATTCTGTGCTCCCCTTTAATTAATTGCTCATGTGACTTATACCTTCTCTAGAATCTGTGAAGTAATTGTTTTGTTTTTAAAAGATCTTTCCCCTTCCCTCAGATTGCATCTAAGATGTAAAAATAAACTAAGACTGTAATGTCAACAAACAGCTTGATTAGGCAGAATATGCCATGACAGCACATATGTAAAAGCAATCTTCACTGAAGATAGGTAACCATTCAAATACGCTTTTTACAGATAATGATGAGTTGAGGGTGAGTAACTAGTTACAGTGCAATTTTACAAGTATACTGCTATTTAGGAAATTACTACTTAATTAATATCTGCCTAAAATAGTAGTTACATTATTTGAAACTTCCTGTGCTTATACTCCAAGTACTTGTGGTTAAATTACACGACTGATTTTTTTTTTTTTTGTAATACCTTAATTAATTTGTTTAAGGGAAAAACAATCCCAAACCTTCCCTGCTATATATTAAAGATAACCACTAATTTTTTCACAATTCTGTCTATCCTCTCCCTTTGAATCTAGGCACTCTCTATCACCCTTAGACCAACTGGCAGAAGTGACGCCCTGACAGTTTCCAGACCCAGGATGAGTCTGAGCTTCTATTTTGTGTCTCTCAGACCACCATCTCCTGTAACACAGCTGCTGGTAGCCCTGTGGAGAGGCCTATGCAGAGAGGAGCCTATGAGGACAGGAACTGAGGCTCCCAGCCACCAACCAGTTCTACCTTGCTGGCCATGTAAAGTGGCTCCTCCAGCCTCAGTTGATGCTGCATGAAATAAACACAAGCTGTTCTTAATATGTCCTACCCAAAATGCAGATTCAAGAGTGAAATAAATTATTGAAACACACCTCACACCTTAATCCAAGTTATTCTACAAGATAAATTAAATGGGGCAATGAAAGAAGTAATAATTATATTTTTTGAGCATTTGCTATGTGACTAAATGCTTTAACATCCTTATTCCCTACAACAACCTTATTAGACAGGATTATTTTATTTTACAGATGAGGGTTATAGACTTGCAAATTAAGTAGCTGCTCAAAATCACATAACAGGAAGTTAGTAATCACAACCAGATCTGACTCCAAGGCACATGTTTAGCAGGAAAATGGGAATGAAGGAGATTCCAAGCAAATGCTGGGGTGACTCAAATTCTCACTAATGCAGTATGAGTTAGGAAAATACGACACCATTTAAAAGGTATGTCTGAGGCTGGTTCAACTTTACTTAGCATAACTTTCCAAATGAGCAGTAACACTTTTTGATGCATAATATTGGAAAACAGCAACATTTTCTCAGTGCTTACAACTTTGTGCGGTCTACTAAGTGCAAGTGCCCCATACTAAAGAGAGGTTAAAAAAATGAATGGCAAGATTCTTCTCTACATGTCCTTTCTTGCACTTTAGTAGGAGAAATAAGGCATGTTACACCAAGAGCTGTATCATAAGGAACCAAGTTATAGATACCACAAGTGAGGAATAAAGTACTATAGGAATTTACTCATTCATTCAACAAATACTTATTTGTTGGTGCCAATGTAGTAGTGAACAAGACAGGTATGGTCCCTGCTCTCAGAGACCTGACAATTCATGATATTACTTTTGCTGGAAGCACCAGAAGAAGATGGATACATTTTAGCATGGCCTTGAACTATCCCTAGACTTTGGGAATATGGAGATCTGGGAATTAGGATGGCATTCTAGATACAGGAACAATAGTGAGCAGACAAACGAAAAACACTAAAGCATGAGAATATTAGGACGTGCATGGGGACTCTAAAGCAAGAACCATATTTTATTGACTCTAAGATTCAATCAGTTTTAAGTCAGACCATTACTTCATGTACCAAAAGAAAAAATATTATTTAAACATTTATAGCAGCGGTTCTCAACTGGGGGCGGTTTTGCCCTCCAAAGTCTGGAAACATTTTTGGTTGTCACAACTGAGGAAAAGCTACTGGTCTTTAACAGACGACAGGCTAGGGATAGTGCTAATCATCTAAAATGCAGAGGAGCATCTATAAGATTCCCACAAAAAAGAATTATTCAGCCCGACATGTCAATAGTGCCAAGGTTGAGAACTCCTAAAATGCAGAATGTCATAAATTGAAAGATACATCTAAGATATTTTATTTTAAGATATATAAAATATAGTAGTTCTGTTTGCCTGGAATAAACCTAGGATTTTAAAGGAGTGTTGGGAAATAATGCTGGTACTCTGCATCTGAATCTGTTTTCTCACCTTTGGAATAGTTCAGTGGTGATGCCCAGGGACTGTCTTGAGAAATTAATTTAATGCAGTGTAAGTCACGGGGTTGGCCTTTCATGACCACTCTGTCATCCCTTGCTTTTGAGAAACGCTGCACTCTAATCACAGTAACTGATATATCTATTTCTGCTAATTCTGATCTCAGGGGAAATAACACTGATTCATCAATCATGTGTTATCTCTTTTTAACTTTTTTTTTTAAGGCCCAGCTCTATGCCACTGAATCCACAAAGCTTTCCCTTCTGCACCATGCACTCAGTTTAAAATTTCTTTTCTTCTTTTGAACTTCCTTAACATCATCTGTCCCTCTCTAACAGTATTCATTGTGTATGTAACTTAGTCTTCCTCTAAATACATGTTCCTTTGGGTCAGGACTCATGCCTTGGTTTATACTTATAACTCTCAGAGAACCCACTACAGTGCCTTACACATCATAGGTAGTCAGTAAATATTTGTAGAATAAATAGTTAAATAAATATGCAGTACTGAAAGATCACAATTAAATACAAATTTCTCAGACTTCTCTTGGCTCTTTTCAGCCTTTCCTCATAGGGCTCATTTGATAAATCTTTAATTATTTCAGTAGCTCTCCAAGTTCTCATGCTTCTATAGGCTCTCAGAGACAGCAAAGTTCTTTAACAAGTCCTAACCACTACTTTACAAAACACCATTTAGAAATCCATTATGTCTCATGTAATTGCCCCATGAGGTGGTGGCCACTTTGGTCTCAAAACATTTAAAGAACCTTACATAAGCAGAGTCCCAAATTCTTCTGAGGAAACAAGGGACAATGAGGGCACAAATGTGAAGAAAGTTTCTACTCACTGCTCACAAATCTCAATCGTAGTTTTTTTTTGTTTTTTTTTTGGAGGGGGGGCAGGATTTAGGACTAATATAACAAAAGTCTTTAAAAAGTATGGTTTCTACTCACTGCTCACAAATCTCAATCGTAGTTTTTTTTTGTTTTTTTTTTTGGAGGGGGGGCAGGATTTAGGACTAATATAACAAAAGTCTTTAAAAAGTATGAATGTCACAGAAAGGAATAAAGAAAAGATCCTTAAGGAACTAAGGGGTTCCTTTAAAAGATAATAAAAAGCAAGACTATTTACCCTTTATTGTTATATAACTTAATGGCAAAAGAAAAGATTAAGGTAAGTACATGTGTGAAAATTAAGAAGATTGCTTTAGATTAATTTGCAGGACTTCTTTTTCCTTTTTTTAAAAAAGTTCCACCCTTTTTTCCCTTCAGTATGGTCCTTGGGCATAAATCAGTGTTTGGTGTTTGCTTCTAGCAAGTCTTTTGCTTCATTTATTTTGGTTGCTAAGTAAGGAGATCCACCTGAGAGGACAGAAAAAAAAAAAAAAAAAAAGGATTAAAACATACTTCATTAACTTCATTATCAACATTTTTAAAAGTCCCCAATATAGAAAAAATTCTTAATGACAATTCTGATATTTACCCACACATTCATCCTCTAAAAAATTACTTTATAAGCTGATTAAAAATCAAAAGAACACAAATTAAACTTGTTTAGTGAGGTACTAAGGTACTACAGATAACTAACAATTAAAAATAACCTCAGAAAAATAATGAAAGAAAGTTATGATCAGGAATAATTTGAAAAACACTCAAACATTTCACTGGTCAGACATTCACCATTCAAACATTTGATCAGAGAATTTTCTGAAATTAAGTGGTTGGTCAGGTAAACAAATAATATTAGGGGTCTTCAGAAAGTTCATGGAAGGGTTTGTATTATCTTTTAGTTCAATTTTTCCACAAAATTTTTGAAGTACTCTCATAGTCTTTTCCCATGATTTTTTTAAAAATGGATAAACACTCATCTATGTAGGAGAATATCTTTCTGAAGGAGGTACATCAAGCCAAGGGGTCTTTAAAAGTCTTATCAAGCCTTATGATTTCACAAAAATAAAATGCATGCTAAAAATCATATTTATCAATACAGATGAATTAACTAATACTAATAAATGAGTGGTAATAGAAATTATGGTAAAGGAACTTCTCCCTGTTCTCTGAAATGATTCTGTTAGAATATTTACAAAGTGTAGTCTTGGATTCAAAGTGCCCTAAAATAAAATTAAGTCAGTTCTTTTTTAGAGTTCCTTGCAATCAATTCTCTCTAATGCAAACAGCAAGAGGAAAATTGAGCAGAATATTAAATGCAGAATTATTGTAAATCACAAACAGAGCCTATTTGACATACAAAAATACTAGCCCCAAACTGTCACATTAGAGCTATTTAAACCTCATATGCCTTCTAACGTCTAGTCCAAATACTGTCATTGCTATGATTGTTAACATTCAGGCTAACAATCATACTACAGTTCACCAGTCTCCTTGTGTTTGTTTTTATTTTGTATTCTCTGCTTAAGTGCACACCATCTACAGCTGTTGAACTGAAAACAACATAAAGCCTCAGTACCTCACAACCAACCAGAAAGCATCTGAACAATATTGTCCTGACTTTATTCAGGCCCTTTATTGATATCATACCACCCACTTTACGAAAGAAAAAGAAAGCAGGGAAAACAGATCAACAAACATGGTGTTGTAATAGAAAGGGTAATGCTGGAGGAAGCTAATATATTTAGCTTTTGCCCTTGAGGATACCACTGACATTTTCATATCAAGATCTGAATTCCTATAGTATATAATAAAGTGTCCTTGAATATACGATAACAATTACAAAGAAAGTTGATGAAAGACTTACATATGTACTTGGTTATGAATTAAGTTGATTTCATGATTATCTCTAAAAATGATCTTGGAATTAGGTAATGCCAATTCTGGTAAGCTGTTTAAATTCTTAGAGTTATCAAGGCAATGCTAAGTATCAACAAACACTAAAATATTAATTGAACTTAAGCATAACCTTTAATTGATTGATATACATTCTGGATATTTAAATCACAAACCATAATATCCTTAGGTAGCAACTGGAAAAAACCAAAAGTACAGAAGATGAAGTCTTATTAAATATTATATTTATTGATGGCAACATCAGAGGGAAAAAAAATGAGTTTATTCAGAACATTGAATTCTCTATCACTCACTCTAAGTTACAGGGACACTGGACTTTTAATTTATATGCATGGTAGAAACTTTGGATTGGCTCTCATCATCCCCATTCTGGAAAATCCTTGGAAAAATTCCTAAGCCAAAATCTACAATTCCTAAATCCCCTTCAGGTGGTGTTTGATTCAAATAGGTTTCATCAATTGGAGGCATTCTTATGAGACTTGGAAGGCTGAAGTGAGGGAAAGGCTTTCTTGCTGGGCCTCTGTGATTGCAGACAGCAAGCAAGAGCATGGTCTAATAGCAGCAGCAACTGTTGCTTGCACCGTTCTAGCGGCCGTCTGTGAGGCAGTGGCTTCCCTGACAGAGCAGCTCTATAACTTTTTCTCTGCAGATGTTTATTCTACTTCAAGTAATAAAACTTATGGAGTACCACATTTTAATGCACAGTGATATAATACTCTGCAATATAAAACACAATTTACAGAAATTTCTATCAAGTAAACCTAAAGAAACACAGCTGACTTTTACATTTCTATATTGAGATTTTTACATTTCTGTATTTAAACTAGAAAAATTTGCTTTACATGTTAAAACAACAAATCCTTCTCATCATATTAGATGTTGGAACCTGACACTTATTTTAATGTAGTTTAACCTACTTACACTTGATTTATAACACCAAACATCCCAAATAGTTATCAATTTCCTTAACTTAAAAATTTGTGCTACTGGGGCTTCCAGTCAAGATGGCAGAACAGACGGTCCCCAGCATCACTGTCTCCCACAAATCAACCAATTTACAACTATAAAAAAGCAATAACAGCCAAGCTGGGGCTGCTAGAGCTCAGGGGTAGAGGAGGAGAGACCTATGGAGTTCATGAAGGCAGGAGAAGCCACGATGAGAGAAAGAAAAAGCTGCTCTGAGCATTTCTGGACACGTCACTTCTGAGCACACAGAGCAGGAGCCAGCAAAAGCCACAGCTGTGCCCTCCAGATGGAGTTGCTTGGAGGTGGCAGGGGAGAAGAGGGCCTTAGTGGCCCCTAGGACAGCAAGACCACTAATAGGGTTCCCATTGACCCACACAGGAGTGAGGAGCCACAACAACTGAAAAAAGGAGCCATTCAGAGGCCAGTGAGTCATTGCCAGGGAACAGTGTGTGGCCTGTCCCATGGGAAGTGTTTGGAGCACTGGTAGTGAGGAGACAGGCCCACTGGGGGAACACTGGGGCACAGCAAGGACAGCTGACCGGCACTCCAATCAGTGAAGAACCACTCAGAGGAGACTGGTCAGGAATGCAGAAGTGTATGGGTTGCAGTTTGATGAAAAGACTCAGACCCAGTTCAGAATTTCTACATAACCCAAGTGCACCGGGTCTCTGGAGAGCCGGAAGTACCTATAAGGTCAACCATTAAAACCTGAGCTGCACAAAGAGACTTCCCTAGGGAAACAGCAGCAACGCAGCAATTTAGCTCAACCACACAACTCAAGTACTGGTCCCTACAGGAAGTTCCCTCATTTTAGAAGTAAGCAAAGGACAAAAAATTAGTTCCAGCCCAAGCACACCACCAGCACCTTGGGGCCCTCCAGGGGACCTGAGGCATGGAGTCGTGGATGGATCCCCCCTGCCCACAAACAGGCACACCACTAGTGCCTCAGGGCCCACCTGGGGACCCAAAGCATTGAGCCGGGAACTCGATGCCCCCCACCACAATCAGGCATGCCACCAGCACCAAGGAGCATGCCAATAACATCACCTCCATGTGGGTGGCCCACCACAGCCAACACAGTAACCACAGCTGCCGCAAAAGTGGCTACACATCACAACCACCACGCAGATGGCCCACCAGCCACTGGAGTGCATTGAGACAAGGAGAGTCACCAGCAGAGACCAAAGAAAAGAAGAGGATGTCTCTCTCCACAAAGCCCATTCCGGAGTAACAGAAAAAGCAGCTGCTCTATGATAATATTGGGGGACCTGAACACACCCCTCAGCATTGGACAGATCATCTAGGCAACAAATCATCAGAGTAACCATTACTCTTTCAGAGGGAGAGAAGAAATCTAGGGTTATCAGTGGTGGGAGGGGGGAGGCAGAGGGGGATAGGGAGAGATTGGAAAAGGAGCATAAAGAATAAGTACAATTTGTAACAATATATATACTAGTAATATAGATTTGATCAAGATATGTCAACATTGAACCCCCAAAATATGTATAATCAATTATGATTCAATAAAAAAAACTAAAAAAAATAAAAATTTGTGCTATAAAATGAAAAATCTGTAGTGATGTACAATGGAACTATAGACTCCAAAAGCAGTTCTATAATTGTCTGGGGAGTCATTCTTGTAGGCCAAATATAGAATTAGCTCCTTCAGACCTTCCAACAATTTGCAGCCTGTAATAAATGTTCTCCTGCTTAAAATATCTAGTTTCTGGCACTGAATCCTAACTGACAACACAATATAGGATATATATCCTATACTTAATGGGAACAACATGCTCTTGAATTTTTCAATCCTTCTCAGTTTTCTGAGGGAATTCCCTGGATTCCATTTAATTAGAACACTCACCTTCACCCTTAACATCTGTGTATCTTTGTACTTCACTAAATATTGCTGGATCTCTTTTGCTTCTGGCTATTATGAAAATCAATGTTTAAGACCAACCCTCCCACTGACACCAACTAGAAGAGCTGAATAAAAAAAATACAAATACATGAGTTTGTTAAAGCACCAAGTCAGCCAGGTCTTGACGGCCAAGATCCTGGAGATAAATAAGGGAAATGAACTGTGATGAGCCCAACATTCTTCTGTACTGCTTTTTCCCCTCAAAGCCAGACACAAAATAGTATATACTGTGTAATTCCACTTACATGAAACTCTAGAAAAGAAGGCAGAATAGTGATTGCTCAAGCTGTGGGAAAGGACTGGCAATGGGAAAGAGCACGAAGGAAACTTTGAAGCTGATGGAAATAGTCTATGACTTGACTGTATTAGTGATTACATGTGCATACACATTTGTCAAACCTGATCAAACTGCACATTTAAATGAGTGCATTTTACTCTATGTAAATTGCATCTCAATATAACTGATTAATAAAAAACAGTGCCACTTTATTGGCTAGCCACCAAAAAATAAAAAGTAAATAATAATAATAAAAAAATAAACCTCAGCAAACTACATGTTGGTTACAAGAGACTTTTTTACAGAACAGAAAAAGATATACACTAATAAAAATAAAGCTGGCATTACTATATGAATTATTAGATGAAGTACACTTTAAGGCAAAATACAATA